ACACAGGTACTCACAAGGAGACAGCGGCCGACTTGTGGAAGTTCTCTTCGCTGGTGACTGGCGCGGAGTGGCCGGCGGCCAACCAGCCAAAGTCGCCTTGCCCGACGCTCAAGGTAGTTGGCCGTGGATGCCGCAACACACGCACGCACACGCGCACGCACGCACGCACGCACGCACGCACGCACACACACACACACACACACACACACACACACACACACACTCACACACACACACACACACACAACACGCGCGCATTCCCCGACACGCACTCGAGAGGGCACGAGCGGGCGCGAGCGAGCACACCCTCCGCTGTATCCGGGCGTATATTCGGCAGTGCTGGTTCACCGCAAGCGCGGCCCTCGTGGTCACGCGGTGCTCCGCATACCGAGATCGCAATCTCCCCAGGGTTCGGCTCCAGTGTGGGTAGGGGATCCCCCACACCCCTTCACGGCACAGGTGGTTGGCGCGGTGGCAAAGGCGATGAACGCGCAGGAGGAGGCGAGGAGGAAGGCGGCGGGTCACGCCGGGAGCATGCCGGGCCAGGCGCGGCTGGGGCGCCGGGAGGGCGGGGCGCGGGGTGTGTGGGGGGGGGGTGGGGGGGGGTGGGGGGGGGGGGGCGCAGCCGACAGTCCACGGGCTGAGCAGCCGGCCTGACCTCCGCCCCGCCCTTTGCCACGCAGGGGCTGGCGGGGATGGCCGAGGCGGATGAGACGGTCGGCGGCGGCACGGCTGGCGCGGCGGGGCAGGCTGCGAGCGGCGGTGCAGAGGCGGCGTTGGGCACCAACGCCGCCGTCTCGCAGCCCGCGAGCACGCCGGCGCGGACGCGGCGCGGATTCCGGTTCTGGAGGAGGACGGGGGCGCCGGCGGAGGCGGAGGAGGCGGAGGAGGCACCGCTCGCCGCTGCTCGCCCCGAGGGTACGGCTGCTGCCGCGGTGGAGGCGCGCCTGAAGCAGGCGCTAGCGGGCGATGGGCTGCCGCTCGAGGCGCCCGCCGCGTCGCGGGGAACGCCGGCCAACTAGGCGGCTCGGCGCGGCGGCGCGGGCTGTGTGCAAAAGGGGCGTGCGGGGAGAGGCTCCCGGCCGACGGTGGAGGGAGGTCCTGAGGGCGATGGGGGAGCATCCCATGCCCGAGCTCTCGGACCGAGTGTCTGTCTCGGCTCGAGACGGAGCCCTTCGGCGCCGCGGGCGCGCGGGGAGGAGGGCGTCGCATGAGAGTGTCGTGGTCTGTGTGTATTCTT